CCCCCCCCTCGCTTTTTTTTGTTCTCCCTCCATCGTAATTTTGTCGACGTCAGGTTGGTGGGGGGGGGGGGGGGGGGGGGGCTCTAGAACCTTTGTCTGATTTTTAGCTAGAAGTGCAAGGATACCTTAAGTAGTGCCTGTTGTTTGGTGCTGACATTCCGAATTTAATCCTTTAAGTTTCCCATGTTTTTGCTCGTCCCTTAGTCTCTGTGGGGAAATGGAAGGCGAACGGGACCGACTGTACTTTCATAGGACCAGTAATGTGCTACAACGAATTCTCTAGTTCGTGTTGTCTGTTTTACGAATTTTTAAGCTTCAGAGACGGTTTGAGTATGAATCAGAACCTCGGAGCGCACCATTAATCAATTAATTAATGTTTTTTCGAACTCCGTGGATAAGCGGGAGGGAAACTCGGAGCATTTTTTTCTATTTTCTCAACGTTTGTTTTTCAATATATCGATATTTTTGTATAGCATGTTTTTATCTGACCTATTTTCGACCTCCAAAAAAAAGCAATGCATTAGGTGATCTATATTGAGAAACGTCGTTCAGCTTCGCCAATTTTTCTTAAAGCAATCCTTGTTTAGCAGTATCTATCGGTAAAGTTGCTATTGCTAATATTCAACCCTGTCTCGAAGTTTCAAAAAAATTTTTGATGTGATTTTGAGGATGTCTTAAGCTTTCTGCGTGTCAGACAAGCCATGAAATATTACCTAAAGCTGCAAAGGGGGTAACGTAGGAAAAAAAAGGATTAATATTGCAAACAAGAGCATGTCTGGACGGCCCAAGTTGTTTTGGAGAAGAATGAGAGGATTTGAGTGGCAGGAGAATGAAAAAGGTTTGGAGGTTTGTGTGTTCGTATTCACATTCGTTCATGTGCTCATTGTCTATCCCACTCAACTCTTATGTGGTACCGTATCGCCCTCTGATGTCATGTTGTCAGTGCCCTAGCTTGCACTTCGTTATGTTCATTTTCATTCCGATCGGAGACAAGAGTTCGTCCGCGGGAAGGGTTTGAGAAGAAGATTGGGAAGATTTTTTTTTCGTAGTTCGTAGCAAAATTCGTAGTTTTTTCGTCTCTGAGAATGAAGTAGTTGGTTGTCCGAGCTCTGTACTACCTTTCTTCTTGGTCTTTCATGGGGTTCTTTGATACTTTGTAAATTTCGCCTTATGTGAGGACCACCATTAAGCACCAGGCGGTTTCTTTTCAAGTTTGGAGCGAAGCCTGTGAATAGCAGGTGATGACCGGACGTTATAGCAAACACAAACTGTACGCCTCTTCCTTTTTTTCTGTTCTGGAGGCCGTTCAGATTCAGATTTGTGAGCAGAAATAGGAAGAAAAAATTTTCGGCTTCAGGGTCCAAGGCTGTTTTTTCTAGAGTTTCTGTCTACTGTATTAGCTGGGTAGGATACAGCGTTATGCAATTCTTGAGAGCTTCCATTACATTTGCCTATTTTGTATGATCAAATTGTACTCGAGCCAATCCAGTTGTCGTTCATGGAACTAGTTTTGTGGTGTCAAAGTGGAATATGAATGCGAAAGCGTTTAGCGTCTTCGCAGTTGTATACCTGCCCCATAGTTGGGCTGTATGGCTAGGCTAGTTACTGTATGACATATTTTCGTTTTGAAATGGTTTTGATACTTCAAATGAAAATTGTAAGCCTCAACGCTGAAAATCATAAAACTACTTCGGCGCTGACTTAGGATACAGCCCCTTTAGACTCTTCTGTTTGGAAAGTTTTCCTAATGGGCTCTCGAATTTCGAACCCTTCACCCCTTGACTATACTCTATAGTTATACCGTATGTGCACTCCGCACTTCCTATTGATTTCCGTTCGGATTAACTGCATAAACCCTCCCATTTTGATGAATTCGAAGCCTTCAATTATTCTCTACGCTTGGTTTTGATAGATAGAAGTGTCAGGAAAGTGGTCAGTTCGACTACTTGAAATTGTTCGCTTCGCTGCTGTTGCAGCCCTTTGCGCTGATGTTTTCTCCGCAACGGCTAAAAACNATCGAAGTTTCGTCGCCATAAATTAGTTGTTTGAACCCCGTTGAGAATCGACGTGTTCCAGATGTGGCTGAAACCTATGCAAAGATCGGTGACTGCCTTGAACGTATGGCTCGAGTTGAACCAGACAAACTTTTGGCCCGAACAGAGGTGCGAGCATCGGATGGAATGCATAAGTTGAAGAAGGTGAGCAAATAAATCAAGAATTATTGACGCTAATGGCTGGTTATGGTCGGTTATGAGTGGAATTGGTAAAAAGAACCTAAAAGAACGGAGGTATCCGCCACTTACCGAAAACTAGAAAGTATCTGGAAGCTTCGAGCGAATCAGCATGCCTTTACATATTTTTCTATGTTATTTCATTTACTAGTCATGATTTATGGTAAAAGAAATTATTTTATGATTTTAAAGGTAATTTATGATATTACAAGACCAGTTTTAACTTTTACAATTCTAAAACAAACTGGTCTCATCGTATCAATATCTTCAGAATCGTAAAATAAATCCACAATATTTCGCAATTTATGGTCTGGCATCTCTCGTTGAATTGTTTATTTGACGAATTTTTCAAATATGATTTATATTCCCTGAATTGCTGTACGAAGAACTTTTTGTTTCGAGATTTGTCAGAGAAAATAAAGTATCACACTAAGGTATTTCTCTCTGGTAAATGCGGAGTAGGTGCCCTTAGAGCCAGTATTAAGTGGGCTCGAAAAACAGCTCTTGCGGACAGCACTTGCGCTAAATATCCATTTTTGATTGCCACCCGACGAGCCCTTCCTTGAGACTATGGCTTCTCAAGTGCGATGTAGCTCGTGCTTATGTCGGGAGTGTCGTCATCGTTATCGCCCATCGTGTTACACAGGCACCAGCGTGCGCTTTGGGAATTCACCACCTATTTCTTGCTGGGAAACCCACCCCGAGTGGGTGCGTAATTTTGCAAACTGACCGCAGCTCATGAGCCGAAGGCTCATTGTTACTTTTTTTGTTATTTATATTTTGTGGGGGTTTCGATAGTTCATGATAATTGCTGCTGATTCCTACTTTTTTTGTGATGTTTTCTTTTTGTACGAACGTGTGGTCGTAGTAAATTGTTGAAATGAATCAATAACCATCAAATAAAATCGATAAAGATGATCACCGACTTTTAATGGTGTAACAATATGTAACTGAACTATTATAAAAAGGAGGTATAGGGTTTTTTCTTGAAGGAAACTGATTTTCAGGTGGAAGCACGGTCAGCAAATGACGAGGAATTGAAGCTGACTGACACGCTGACCTATTTTACAAGAGATACTCAAGCAGCTAAGGTTTGATAAGAAGTTTATTGAAGTTTTCTTTCTTCCGTTCCTTTTTCTTTCCCCGTTTTCTTTTTGATACCTTTCCTCCTCGTTATTTCTTCGAGTTACAATGTTTCTGTGGAGCAATGTTTCTGTGAGACAGCTGAGTCTTCAAACCGGACGGAAGTGTTTACGTTGACATTTACTCTCATTCCTCGCTAGCATTAAGCGATGATCTTCCGTCATTGTTTCGATAGCAAATCTCTACCGTCATCGTCAGTGACGTTCATCGATTGGAGTGCTGCTGGGGAGATATAATTGAGAGGAAACTAAACTAATTTTTTCAACCGTGAGACTTTTTCAGTTGTTTGGACCTATTGACACGCTTGAAGGGAATAGCTGAAGCGCAATCTTTAGCTACGTTAATGATAGAAATTATGGTATAGCTTAGCCGCCTCTATCACTAATTCCCTGCCCTGTACTTTACGTCCTAGTCCCTCACCATTAATTTACCCTTTAAATATCTTTGAGGGTTTAATGAAGTACTTTCTGATGTCATAATGAGTAGTAGAAAAGTGATGTCATGGCTGTACTTTGTGGTGATCATTTTATGAAATACGAGTTGTTGATGACGTTGTCCAGCTCGTTTCACTAGTAAGCCGCTCAAACATTCGTGAAATATTCACTCTGCTCAATTCCCGCCCCTTTGCAAGATACTTTGTAGTGTAAGTTGTAAACAACTTCAAACATGGTTCTTTTCCCTTTATTTCCTTTCAATGACGTCGAGAAAAGTAGCGGCGAAGGTTTTACCCTTTTCAAGAACAAATCAGTGATCTGTATCTTTCCTTCCTCACTTTGTATTTAATAGCTGGGATACAGGAAAGAAAAAGGGAATACAGACCCTCTTGCAGTGGCTAAACCTGCAGCTATCTTAGGGTCAATGTTTCTTGTGCCAACAATTTATTGTCTGTTTGCTTTTATGCCCCAGAAAATCTTAGTAAAACATTCCGACGTATTGAGGGTCTATAAGGACTTGAATCAAGCGGTGAAGGAGGTGCTTTGCAGGTCTTCAGTATGGAAGAGTAGCTTCGTAGAGTTTTTCTTGTATAGCCAATATGCGGATTAATCACAATCTCCAAGAAGGGGCCGGTCCAAAATAGCCTTCGTTCACAGGATGACTGGAAATTGGCCCAATTTGCTTTTCGAAGGCTTTTTCCATTGAGATTCACATCAAGCTTAACAACTACATGGCAACCTTGCAAAAGTACGCTCAGGTGTTCCAGCGTCGCGTAGGTGGGCTATCTTTTTGAGAGGAGTTTGTTATTAGCTGTTCGACTCCAGATCAATGACTGTCTCAAGTATTAGGTTGATGCATAATTATTGCGGATTTTTTTCAGCAAATTTTACGAAGAAACGACAGTAACATCTAGCAAAGACATGTTCAAATAATTGCTCCGGAACATGTCCACCATCTACGTTAAGCACTGCTCCCCATTTGCTAGGCGATCGAATTCCACAGGCGAAGGAGGTTCGATTCTTAGAGGCGATCACGCCTTGACGTTGGCCATCAAGCCATCCACTTCGTCGAAAGTTCTGTTCGTTAACCAATTTTCCAAAGAGCGATTGACGCGATAATCCATAGGAGTATCTGTTGGTGAATAGGGCGACCGCAGAAGCAGATTTCATTACTTGTTCGGCTTTGGCTGACTGTAACATCGCCGAGAAGTTCGTTGACATCACGTTATGCGTGGGCCGCCTTCCGGCATTTCTCGAAGTAATGAGCATAATTTGGTGTATAAAAAATGACTTTTCAGACATACTTCCGTTAAGGAAAGCGAGAAAATTAATTCTACAAAAATCCCGAATTCAAAAGTTTAGTTTTATAGAGAGAAAAGAAGCTGCGAAAAAATCCGCAATAATTATGCATCAACCTAATATTTCGGCCATTGAAAAGAACCTCTTGCAAAAAAAGCGGATAGTGGGCTTGGCGACTTGCTTCTTGCTCAATTTTTTTCCTTTGGATCTTGGAAATTTGTCAAGGTTGGATATACGGGGCTTAACTATGGTCCAGTTTTGCTGGATTCTCCTATGGCTACTATTTTTCCCGCTCATCCCCCTTGTCCTTTGCGGCCCTGCCCCATTTTCGTCCACGATCCACACATTTCATAGCACTCGTTTTCTGCTGTACGTACTACCGCCTATACGATTTGACCGTCTATACGATTTTATTGTCGTCTGAGCTATGGACAATATAATAATTCCTAAAGAACTGAGCGGCCACCTGTGATCCAACACTTGCTGCAGATTGGTCTGGGATCGTTTGCACTTGTGGAGGAGTGCAATACACTCTTTGCATATCGGCTGTAAATGCGCCGCACGACGTTTTACGGGCAAAAAATGATGCGAATCGATCGTAATTGCGTCTGGGAACGGTGGAGTTTCGAGACGATGTTGTTGGTCTATCTCATCTACGATTGATGGAATAATTACTCTTTCTAGTGTCACGAAACAGAGTAGGGCTCAGGAATGTTTTGAAACAAACACCAAGCGAAGCATTTTGTAACCCTTCAAGTCTATCCTCGAGCCGAGTGGGTTCTAGCGGCGCTAGCGGCACTCACTGTTCTTCTATTCAGAGCTCTAGTTCTCCTGCTTGATGTCATCCATGATGTAGCGGTGATTGAATAGGAAATGGCTTCCTTCCCAGCTCGCTTTTCCTAGAGCAGGTGTTCTTTTGTGAGATCCAGCTCAGTCTCTGAGACTTTCACGATCGCGTATCCCTGGATACCGGCTTAGGACATATTTTTCTCCATTTCGTCGAGAAAAGTGGTTTTTCTTCGGCCCATATTGAAGTATATTAAATGTTTAGGGGAAAATGACCAGCCGAGAGTTTCCTGTGGCTGCTTGTAAGTGAAATATAATGTTGAATAGTTTTCAAATGCTAACACGCTCATTGATGGACATTCTCGTCTTTATTTTCACCAATTTTCTTCTCTTTTAGTCATATTTTATGATATTTTCATACTTTAACGTCAGTTTCTTCTTTCTTTTTGTATTTAGTATTTATGCGTTTTCAATGGACGAGTTGATGGCCCTAATTTCGAATAGATAATGCTTGAGTGACCTGTGAAACCTAGACCCGTGCCTAAAGGCCGAAATGTTACTCTTTTCTGAGGATAGTAGGAGCTTGAGCAGTGTTCGTGCTCACCTTTTATCACAATAGGGTGCGGACCACCGTCGCGTTCGCTTATGCATGAGATTTTGCCACCACCAGAAGCGATTTGACTGATTACAGTCGTTTATATCGGCCTTAATAGTGGCCTCCATCTGTGCATTTCGTATTCATATCAATAATTTGTATGTAATTTATGGGCTGTGGTCGGTGCTACTCAGAAAAAGGTCCTGACAAATAGGTTTCCCTGGTGGAAACGTGGCTTCATGATTGGGAGCGGGGGTCCGTAGTCAGTTGTGGTTTTTCCTTCTCACCTCTGAGAGGGTTTGGTCAGGGTCAGTATCTTACAAATGATCAGACTTGCCGATTACAATGCACAACAGTCCTGAATACTTGAACTTTTATGATTTGATCCTTGACTCAGGTCTCTACCAAGCCCTGTTGCCGACCAGTATATCTTTGAGCCATTTGGAAATATATGGGATTGTGGATACGACTTCTGTGATTTACAAGCCAATCATATAATTTTTAATTTGTCAAATGTGCTGGCAAACCATTTTTTGATAGTCTCTTGAGGATTTCATATTTTGTCATATTTTTTATTCTGTCGTGCGAGTTGTCTGAGTATCACCACTGGGTTAGTCACCATCATAAGGAAGAAGGGGAGTGGTTGCTGTAAAGAGCTTCTCATTTCAGTGGGCAATAGAAATTGCTACTGGAAGAGCTATTCGTTTACGGCTGTTCCTGCCCCGAGGGGGATCTATGTCTCGTTCGTTGATGTTATCGGTTCGTCGTTGAAGCGGGCATGTTCGTCCTTGGGGTTCCATTCACTGTACGAAATGGAGTTTTCATTTAATTCCAAACTTTTTTTCCATTTTGAAGCTCTTCAATTTTCTTTCTTTTACGTTAAACCAGCGACGTCAAAGGCTGCTTGTAACGGCTGCTTTGGTTCGTATTAGAATTTGGAATTAGTTTCTGTAGCCTTGAAAAGAATATGAGTGAGGGGTTCGTGGAGATGGATGGGGGTGGAGATCGTTCAGTATACATATTTTCTATCAAAGTAGCACTTGGGATATTCCTCTCCCCCGACTTCTGGAAGGGTGATTGCTCAATGTTGATGCTCACTGTAAATCGTGAAATGAATTGGGGCGGAGGGAGGAAGAGGGGAAGAGTCCCACAGGAGGCGATAAATTCGATGATAAGGCATGATTCACGATGAAGAGTTTCCACATTGCCAACTATTACGGATCTGTTGTCATCGAGTGACCCATATGGGGCACTGTCGAGTCAAGAAACGGGTCTGGATACGGCGGAATAAAAGCTCGGGAAGGGCGTCGTCGAGGTCTACGCCCCAAGGCGGGTGAGTTTCAAAGGTATCAAGGTAGAGGCTGCATCATTCACAATGGGGCACGTATGTGGGAAATTCAACTACGGGCGTGACCCATGGCGACAGTGCAGTGGAAGGCAATTTTTCCCGTTTTTGATTCAATATAGCCGGATCTTCCTGCAATGATTGGAATCTTGTCCAAAGTCTCTCCATTCCCATTCTATTCAAAGTCACTTCGTACATTCCCTGTTTTCACTACTTTCCAGAACCGGAATGAGCCTGAAGAACATAAGCTGTTCCTTCGATGACGGAGGTGTGTTCAGCGCTGCCCTTTACGGGTTCATAGATTCGCGATCAAAAATTCTCCGGAGGATTCAGAGAAGACGAGAAAAGAAGTAGATGATCCGGCCGCAGTTCCAATAAATTTCCAATTAGCTTGAAACGAAGCCATTCCGTCACTGCGCGTCATATACCCTAAAAAAGCATAATCCAATTAATATTGAGAATCGAGCACGGGGATTCGTGGAGGGACTCGTTCAA